ATGAGGACTCTCGCAATTATCCTGGGCATGGCCTTCCTGGCCCCACTATCCAGCGGACTAATCGGATACGACTGTGGAGGACGGGGCCTGAACATCACAACACTCTCCCTCTTAGATATCGAAGAGTGTAAAACCAACAGCATCGAACCTAAGAAGGAGGAAGTCTATATACAACTACTCCAACTCAGTGAATTCGTGCATACTCCTGCCTACCAATGCAAAATCGAAATAGACCGGACTATATTTTACTGCGGAATGCACTCTCATATAGCAGCGGTGCAGAACGGAAGACAGGAGTATATCCACGAAATATCGGCAGATACATGCCGAAAATTGCACGAAACAGGGACCATATCCCTAGGAGTTAACCAGCACATTACTGGGATTAAGCCAAATGCAACAAACCTAAGAGCAATGACACTCGCAGGATCAGTTAAGACAGACGGAAAATGCAGCGGCACCCAGTTCAGCGACGCATACGGCTCATGGGACGACGTGATCGTGCAAGCCTCAGTACGAATCACGATACGACAATTGGAGCTGCCCGTTGGATACAATAACAATGAAGTGATACTTCCATCCGGCACTCGCTGTCCCGTAACGACAGGCGAATGCATTGATGCCGACGGCGCCTCCACCTTCTGGACAATCCTGCCAATTGACAACTGTCACTTTGGACGATACGATGTTCTCTACGAAGGAATAGCATATCGATTGTCGCCCAGCACTCCCCAAGAGGAAGCGCCAACGATTTATACAGTCACGGCGCGTGACACAACCTTCGCATTAGCAAGGACAACCGAGACCAACGTATGCGGATACAACCTTTGGCGAACGGAACATCCCAAGCTGTGTATCCTCGAAACGAGGCCCGAACGGACATTCAAAAGCCGTTCCAAGGTCAGAATCGACAACCTCGACATCTTCACATATGTGAATTCAAAATTTATATACGTCGAGAAACACCTGAAAACCCAGCTGACCCAACTATACAAGGATATTATGGAGCAAAAATGTGCACTGGAAAGGCAGATCCTCCTCAACGCACTTTCTCTAGCAAGCATAGCACCTGACGAAATGGCGCATCGAATAATGAAGTCTCCAGGTTATACCGCCATAACTGCAGGTGAAGTTATACACCTCATCAAATGTATACCTGTCAAATGCCGCCTACGACCTACCGAGGAGTGCTACAACGAACTCCCCGTCACTCATCAAAATAAGTCACTCTTCCTCTTACCAAGATCGAAGATACTTACTAAAGCCGGAACATCGAGGGATTGCAATGAACTATTACCAACTCTATACCAAATACACAACACCTGGTATAGACTAACACCGAAACCCGTGGAATCGGTGGCACCGCCTACTATCAGGCCTCTAACCAAACCCTCATGGAAGTACGTAAGCCCGGATTCACTCGCTTCCAGTGGTATCTATACGAACGAAGATCTTGATCGTCTTCGCGACCATATCATGTTCCCCGTGGAAAAACCCTCCATGCTCCACACAATCGCCAGGGGAGCAATGGGACAGGAAATTCCTACAGGCAGTTTCTCCTTGCTGAATTTATTAGACGAGAAATCTCTCGACCGAATAGCGGAAAATACCGGAGCCAGGCTATGGAAGGGATTTATAAGCTTCGGATCCGCCAGCGCCGGAGTACTTGGCATCTTCGTTACCGTACGGTTGATAAAATTAATAATCGACACCCTGATCCATGGGTACGCACTCCACTCGGTGTACGGATGGAGTCTACATCTACTCGGAGCCATTTGGACCTCGGTGACCAACGTCCTCCTACACCTTGGTAGATCAGCGGACGGAGAACAGGACAACGGACGAGAACTGCTACACCTGAAACCCCCTCCAACGAACGAAGAAGAAACACCCTTAACCCTGCCCACACAACAAACCCCTTCGATTAACGAATCAGACAGTGGCAAAGTGTGTGCAAAAACTCACCCTACGAGTGTTCCCCCAATGAAAGATTACGGCGAACTAAATAAATATTTACATAATCAATGTTAAGTTAAGAACCTAATCGTAGCGCATAGAAAACTAAGTCCAAAATGTTGGAACATTAAATTCCAACATTTTTATTTTAAGGGGGGAGGTGTCACGTCCGGCCGTATAAATTTTTTCGTTTACTCCAAGTTCCTTAAACGCTATTTGAAAAGCGCGCCAAAGCCGGCCATGACGCTTAACTCCGCCTAGAAACTAAGCGTGGCGCTTCGTAGCGCCTAAGGATCTCCCACCACGGTGAGAGCCCCTACTCCGGAGAGTTCCCCCTCTCCAGGCCGCCGCAGGCCCGAGCCGCCGAAACGAAGGACCTCAGAGCAGTCCCGAATTTCGGCAGTTCTCTGCGCGACACCGAACAGTATAGTCGCACTCCTAAATTCTAACTCTAAGTCCAAATTCTAAATCCTAACTCTAATTCTAAAATTCTAACTCTAAGTATAATATTCTAACTCTAAATTCTAAGTCTAAATCTAAATTCTAATTCTAAGTTTTAGTCTCGAATTTTGTACTACTATACGAATAAATCAGTGTATTCATGTGTGAAAACTAGTGTTCAGTATTCTTCAAAACTTCCACTCCCGTGATAAAATACGATAGCGTTTAAATTTGTCATACGGCGTTTGAATTCAGAATAATTCAAACTGTGTTTGGAGCGGACCACCGCTCATCACAGTCAGAATTAACATTCTCAGCATTTGCCAAAATAAGGAATTGATAGTGAGGTCCGCCGCATATCAACCCTCCTTATTTGAGTAATCATTCAGAGGATGCATCAAATTCAATATGCCTAAGACGCGACGCGCAGGAAGGAAGAATCAATTACGAAAACTAAACCGACTTTATCGCGAATCAGCGACCGAGGAATATTCTCAATTCCTCGGAGTGGAATATCAGGCCGATCCTGAATACGAGAACATTTTCAACATTAAAAATAATAACAACGACGAACTCCTACAGTGGAAGTGCATACCAATAACGTTCCAACCACGACGCCTGCCGCCGCCAAACATCCCAGTGAACGACCCTCGCCGCACGCACTACCTCCAAGTACGAGCCGACACGATCAAGAAAGTGCTACTAAAGGTAAGTGAAATTCACGTTAACCTAAGGAATCGCGCGTGTTAGCAAATTCAGAGACGCTTCTACCACGTGGAAGAGAACATTCTAGAAAAATCTCCGACGCATTTTTCCTCTTTTCCATCGTCACTGCGGAAGCTATAAAAAAAAGGTCGGGCTATAAAACTAGGGTCGACCACCACATGCGGTGCCACCCTCGGAATTCTAACACGGAAAAACGCAAATAGTTCAATCTCTTAAAAATCTTGTGTCTCAAGAAATAACTTCGTAAATCCGTACAACAAAGTAGTCATTTAAACAATAATCAATTGAGAACACTTTCGATTTACCAACATTACCGACGATATACCGACATACGTTCTTTTACCGACGTTATCGACAATATACCGACATACGTTCTTTTACCGACATTACCGGCTATATACCAACATACGTTCTTATACCGACATTACCAACCATATACCGACGAACGTTCTTTTACCAACGGGTTATCGACACCTTACTGGCACCTTACCAGTGTTTTACTGAACAATTACCGACGGTTTTGCCGACGACTACTAACTTCTCGATAACTGCCGGGTTCACCGAAGATCTACGAGCGAATGACGCATTATCAATTCGATTACGCAACAAACACAAATGTGCCCACTCACCCTTAGAGGTATAACTCCTCCTCCAGAAGTTAATCTCTTTGTACCGTTTGAACCCTTATTCTATTGCCAAGTTGGTGTCGGGTACATCCATTTTGAGACTAAGGCAGCTCTCTGCATTTCATGCTACTCCACCTTACCTAGAGTCTCGAAATTACTTTGGACAAGGATTCGGAAGCATACTCTAATCATAGGCGGAACACCTATCGGAATAAATTGCGGAGTCTGCAACTTCCGACTTACCCTCACGCGAATCGGTGATTTGTGCGAGCTTTGTCAGTTTACGTACGAAGATTACTTACGCAACCCCAACGACGTTTCGCATAGAGCAATCGACGAAGCTATCTTTATTACAGTAGAGTCACAGGTAGGTCCCACGCAATAATCCGATCACCTCAGTTCCAGCGCGAATAACCTCAGATCGCGGGTATCCCCGGGGAGAATCGCATAGATTCGCGTACCCGTAATAGCGATCGTGTCTCGTGGAAAAAGCCGAGCTCTGCATTCAAATTTTCGCAGCCGCGACCCCACGAGACGTAACAATAGTGTATATTTCATCCTCATCATGAACTCTGTGAAATAAGAAATCTCTCTATAAGAATTGAATTAATATACAAAACTGTCTATATTTTGATGACTGTTTACACTTCTAAGATAGATATATAGTGATTTGAATAAGTATTCATCATAAATTATAGTTCTATAGATATAGATACGTCTTCATATATGTACTCTGAATAAATGATCTATATTTAGATTATTTAGTGAGTAATTTAGTTCTAATTTACAAGATAAGTAAAGCTTTTCTATTGAAGCAAGTGATCTGTGAAATCTGGATTATTTGCAAATGACATCTTATAAATGCAATAAGATATTTGCATAAGTATTATATAGTGGCTGGCTATTAGCTAATTCTACACAAGACTGTGATTGTATTATAATATACTTTCTATATACTTTTTATGTTTTTTGAGATATTAATAAATAAACTAATATTGGGTCTCAAAATATATGAATCTTTAATTGATTAGCTGCATTATTTGATATACTGTGAAAAGGTAGTTAACTAGTTACATTTAAATAAACTTAATATCTTTTGTAAACTGATATATTGTAACTTGTGATATACTGAGAATTTAGTACTATGTTACTAAATTAACTAAAAATTATATACTAGTGTGTAAATTGTAACTCATTTAGTGATAATAATTACAACTGACATATAAAATATATGATATTCGATGTGTGCAAATTAATTATAAAATAGTGATATATAATTTAGTGGATATATCATCCCTTTGACGCTGCAACACGGCCTCATCAGTCTGGTCTTCCTCGGAGGGACTGTGGTGTATGAAGCCTCCTGGAAACTGCTGGTGGTCCACGTGAGACAATATATTACCATCCTGATGACCTGCAAAAGATAAGTGACTTATATATGTCTGTGTGGTCGTTTTAAATTTATATATGGGCACACAGAGTTACTTAGGGACAGCCCTGTAAACCCATAATGACCATATAATCGACTTATTGATATAAATATTTATCATACATAAACAGTGAAAAGAAATATGTGACGCAGTAAATTCACAGATAATTAGTAAAACACTCTACTTAATAATAATAATATACACTAAAATTGTGAACTCACCAACTAATGTGTCAAGTACTATAATATTAATATTATATAAACCATAAATTACTATTTAATTTAATTAAATGAACAAAGTATATGCGTTTAGTAAAGAAATATTACACATTTTTGCGTAAATTATAATAACTAAACGCCAATGTGGAACAAAGTGATCTCTTCACAAATAATTACTGATAAACATTAAGCTCTTACGTTATTGATATGTGTGGAGAGCTGGTGGTGTTATATTTCCTTATAATTGTACCTCAGTGCCTCAATCTTGTACGTTTTTAGTTAATTTGTTGGGATCCCATGTGCTGCTGCATCTGGACACATGTATTGAGATGCATAAGTAATTGACATGTGACATTTCAATAATAATCACACACATCGTACTACGTAACTTTACATTATATAAAATATTGATAGCTATTAGCTGTTTCCATAATAACATTGGATAGTAATGCTCAAAGTCTATAACTTTTCTTAATTAATCTTCATATAAGTGAAACAATTATATTTTTTGTGTTAAAACTAAGTTAAAATGCTAATGACAAGCAGATCGTATTAAATTGCAAAAGTCTTGCACATAAATATCAAATACTAATCATTGAACGATATAAACCTTAAAACATCTTATTACTAATAATAATCTAGAAATAGTTTGTTTTGAAGTAATAAATCTACTACGAGCAATGATATATTCATTACACATAATAATCAATTAACTGTTTGTTTAATTAGGAAATTTAACACATGTATGTAATGATGTAAAATATGCATTGAATCTAGTGTAAGAACAAATTAGTGAAGGATGTTCTATTAAAGTAGTAATTACATATGTTGAAATTATAAATTTATTACAAAACTCTATAATATTAAAATCTTAAAATAAGTGATCGTACAGACATAAAATGTGCATGGAAACAGTACTGCTCGCGGTGTATAAAATTTATATGACTTAAAACTTTAAATTGTGAGTAATACAAACTTTAAACTCCAAAAATACTCAATTACCACTTATTGTTGTTCAAAGTTAATATTCCTGAAGATACATCTATTGTATACTACACAGGATAAAATAGCTATCTTGCAAGTGATCATCGATAAATGTGGACTTTTATATTACACCATCAGTGCATATGGTGTCCTGGGTATGTGATTTTCCTTTGTTTACATTTATATGTCAACACTCAGTTGAAATCCTTCTGAGTTAATTGGTGGCACTTCATCTATTGTCGTCTCCTAGTGTAAACATAAAATATAAGTATTTAGTAAATGACTTTCTATTAACAATTTACATAACATATTACGGAATCATACATAGTGCAGTGTTCCTTGTAATACTGAATAGATACCAAAACATTGATATTTTTAGTTAAAAAGCTCTTAATAAGTGTAATAATCCTTCTAAATGTGTGAACTAAAGCAATATGTGCCATGATAAACGGATCTATTATATAACCACATATTAACAAATACTAGAGTTCAATATTATAAACTTAAACATTTATTTGACAATTAAATAACCTAAAGTCATTTGGTTTTGAATAATATACTTATTATGATATAGTAAGACAATTTTAACTACTAAATGATATTAAAATACTTACATCACTAAATATATCAAATTTGGATAAATAATACTTTCTCCGCAGCTAGGCTTGTGTCCTAGTATCCTAATTTGTGACAATCTTGATACCTAGTGATTTTAACAACACTTTTAAGCTGCTGTGTGTGTATCTGGAATATGCAAATATAATAAATGACTTATTTTATAATAAATTAATACATGATAAAGTTATGTGACGGTATATGGCACTAATTGCTACAAGTTAATCAAGTGACAACTAACCACACAAAAATTACCTGACTTACAGTGTATTAACATTTGTATTAAACTTTATACTGTCTAGTGTATATATTTTGATATATCTAATTATTTGAGGACTTGAAAAGCGTACCATTAATGACTAACTTGGATGTTTGCGATGCAATGGTATGTAATGATGTCCTCTTTGGGGCTATACGTATTGTCCTTTTCACATGGATAGGATATTTCCTCGCTTCTGCATTGTTGATATGCGACGGACCCTCAAGTAATGCGTTGTGTAACAACAATAGCATAATTAGAATTAATTAAATTTGATATGACATGCATATACTATATAGTTTGAATTTCGGTTATTATTATTATTATTATTGACAATTAAATGATATTACCTCGTACTGCAGCTATTGTGTGTTACTGTTATTATATAATTACCCAAAAAGTGCATCCTTGGGATTGCTGCATTGATGAAGTGACATTCTGTAGTATTGAGGTTATAAACTCTCTCCCGAGTGGATTTTCCTCTCTCGGGAATAATAAACGTGACAAGCTGTAGCATTCATCATCCACACCTTTCATTTACACTCTACACTTTTATTACACCTTACACTTTTCACTACACTTTTACACTTTTTACATCTTTATACATTTGTAATAACTTCAATTCATTAATATACATAATGTTTTTAAGAAAAATCAATATTTCCATAACAACACATTCATTCATTTATTTGTTACATATTAATTCTTTTTGTTCTTTCGCTTTATACTTTCAATGAATAAACATTACTTTTTCAAAGATCTGGTGAATTTATTTATAAGTCGCTACATTTTTGGTGACCCCGACGTGATATTAAAGCCGACGTGATATTAAAGCCGACGCATTTTAAAGGCTGATGCGGAATAAGTGCCAAGTGATCGTCGTATTTGAAGTCTGCGAAATATTATCATCGCTTGGAAGAATTGCTGGATATTCTGATTTTAAGAGATTCATTCTCCGGATCTTTGAAACATCAGAGGCGGATTAGTCCTTCACGGAAATTCTCAAATCATTTTATCGGATTCCTGGAACAAGAGGAAAATGCCAATCGATAGATCACCAGTTAGACCCTGTTCGGATACACAGATTGATATGGATTTGGCGAGCGGATCAAATCAGGTTGGATCAGAAAATATTAATATTTTACCTTCTCAAACTGGACATCAGGTGAGTGATCCTATGTTACAAATTCACTCAAATGAGTTTCGTTTATTAAAACTACCGACTTTCTGGCATAAACAACCTAAACTCTGGTTTGCTTCTATTGAAAGTGAGTTTACGGTTTATCGAATTCGATCAGATGATATTAAATATAGTTCTGTCATTCGTCATCTTGATGAACAAGCCTTAGTAAACATATCTGAAGTCATTGAAAATCCACCTGAAACAGATAAATATAATTATTTAAAGAAAATATTAATAAATCGCTTTACGGATTCAGAGGAAAAACGTTTGAGACAAATATTAGCTGGAATTGAACTTAATGATAAAAAGCCTTCGGAATTACTTCGAGAAATTCGTCATTTGTCTGGAGGATCTTTAGCAGATAGTGTTTTGCAAATGATTTGGCTTCAACGCTTACCACATAGAATTCAAACGACTTTAGCCGTAGTAGAGGATGTTCCTCTTGTTAAACTTGCGGAATTAGCCGATAAAATTGCTGATCGGGACGGCGGTTTGCAAGTCGCGGAAGTTTCCAATAATGCAAGTAATAAATCTTCGGATTTCGCGGATTTGCTACGAAGAATCGAAGCTCTTGAAGTTTCTCGTCGTCGAGATCGTTCCAAAAGCCGGTCTAGAGAGAATAGAAGATTTAGATCGTTATCGCGTAACAAAGACAAATCAAATAAAGATATTAAAGATACATCAATTTGTTTTTACCATAAGAAGTTTGGTGATAAGGCTAAACGATGTACTTTACCTTGTTCTATGTCCAAAACATTCTTGGCTTCACAGGAAAACTAAAAACGCCGCTTAAGACTGAGGCTGCTTACGACGGTGTTTCTAACAATCGCCTCATTATTTTCGACAGACATTCAAATTTGAATTTTCTTGTCGATACGGGCGCTGATATATCGTTGTTACCTAAAAAGGTTTTATTGAAGCCGTGGCATACTAATTTAAAACTTTTTGCCGCAAATGGTACTCAAATTAATACTTACGGTTCTAAAACTTTAATTTTGAACCTCGGTTTAAGGAGAGAATTCAAATGGAAATTTTGTGTCGCGGATATTCAACGTCCTATTTTAGGCGCCGATTTCCTTTGTCATTTTAATCTCCTAATTGACATTAAAAACAAGAAATTGATTGATAATGTTACCGGTCTTATGAATACTGGAAAAATTCAAGAAGTTGCACATTTGTCAATTTTTACCACATCTCCTGATTCTGTGTACCACAAATTTTTAACCGAATTTCCAGGACTCACCCGTTTTTCTCCAATTTCCTCGGTAAAAACACATGGTGTTGAACATCATATCGTTACGGAAGGTTCTCCTAAATTTTCGACTCCCAGAAGACTTACTCCTGAGAAACTTAAATGTGCCAAGGAAGAATTCAAGTCTATGATGGAGCAAGGAATTTGCAGGCCTTCAAGCAGCTCCTGGGCAGCCCCTCTACATATGGTACCTAAAAAGGAACAAAATTCTTGGAGACTGTGTGGTGATTATCGTGCACTCAATTCAGTGACTATCCCGGATCGTTATCCCTTACCTCATATTCAAGATTTTTCTTCTTCACTTTTTGGTAAGAATATCTTTTCTAAAATCGACTTAGTTAAAGCGTACTATCAAGTACCCGTCGCTAAAGAAGATATTCACAAAACAGCTGTCACTACTCCATTTGGGCTTTTTGAATTTGTCGTAATGCCTTTCGGTTTACGAAACGCAGCCCAAACTTTTCAACGGCTCATGAACTCTTTACTTAATGATTTGAGTTTTGCCTTTTGTTATCTTGATGACATTCTTATTGCTTCTAAAGATGAGAAAGAACATATTGCTCACTTACGCATTATTTTTGATCGTCTTCAACAAGCTGGAATGACAATCAATGTCGCTAAATGTCTTTTCGGTCAAAGCGAGATTTCTTTTCTTGGTTACTTAGTTTCTAACCAAGGAGTTAAACCTACATCCGAAAAAGTGAAATCAATTATTGATTATCCTAAACCTAAGACACTTCATGAATTACGCAGATTCTTAGGAATTATCAATTATTATCGTCGCTGTCTCAAGGATGCTGCAAATCATCAAGCTCTGTTAACAGAATATTTAAAGGACAGTCGCAAGAGGGATAGAAGAATTATTTCTTGGACTAAAGAAGCGGAATTAGCTTTCGAGTCATGTAAAGAAGAACTTTTACAAGTTACTACCCTTTCTCATCCTGCTCCTCATGCTCCTCTTATTTTAACTTGTGATGCTTCTGACTTTGCTGTTGGTGCATCACTTGAACAGTCTATTGACGACGATATCAAACCAATAGCATTTTTCTCAAAGAAACTAGACAAAGCTCAAAGAAATTATAGCACTTATGATAGAGAACTTCTTAGCATTTATTTGGCTATTAAACATTTCAGGCATTTTGTTGAAGGAAGACAACTGATTATCAGAACTGATCATAAACCTTTGATTTTTGCTTTCCGTCAGAAATTGGATAAAGCGTCACCAAGACAGATCAGACAATTGGACTTTATTGCTCAATTCTCTACAAATATTACCTATATTTCTGGAAAAATGAATTCAGTTGCTGATGCTCTGTCAAGAATTGAATCTATTTCAATGCCTATTATAGTTTCTTTAGAAGAACTTGCTAATTATCAGAAAGAAGATGAAGAACTTCAAGTTTTACTTTCTTCAAATTCTTCACTTCTGTTGAAGAAACTTATTCTTTCAGGATCAACCATACCTATTTATTGTGATTGCTCTTCGGAATTAATTCGTCCATATGTTCCTAAACTCTTACGCAAGAGAATTTTTGATGTTGTTCATGGACTCGCTCACCCCAGCGGCAGATTGACATCTAAACAATTACTACTGAAATTCATTTGGCCTTCTTTGAAGAAAGATGTGAAGGAATGGACTCGAACTTGTCTTCCATGTCAACGTGCGAAGATTTCAAGACACACCAAGAATTCTCCAATTAAGATTGCAATTCCTGATCAACGCTTTCAGCATGTGCATTTAGACATTGTTGGACCACTTCCTATTTGTCAAAATTACCGTTATTGTCTTACTATGATTGATCGTTTTTCCAGATGGCCTGAAGCTGTTCCTATTTCTGAGATTTCTGCTGAAACTATTTCTACAACATTTTATTCACATTGGGTAGCACGTTTTGGTTCTCCTATCAGCATTACAACAGATCAAGGTCCTCAGTTTGAAGCAGCTTTATTCAAAGCTTTAACAAACCTAATTGGATGCCAAAGGATTAGAACTTCTGCTTATCATCCTGCTTCAAATGGAATTCTGGAAAGATGGCATAGGACTTTGAAAGCAGCGATTATGTGCCACGAAACAACCAACTGGGTAGAATCTTTACCTTCAGTTCTTTTGGGATTACGTTCGTGTTTCAAAGAAGATTTAAAAGCTTCACCTGCAGAACTTCTTTATGGATCCACTCTTCGTATTCCTGGAGAATTTTTCATTGAAGAAGATTTTCCTGCAGATCCTGAAATCTTTCTTGAAAAACACAGGATTCATATGAGGAATATCAGATCATCTCCTACAAGTCATCATTGCAAAAGATCACCTTTTGTTCACAAGAATCTTTTTGATTGTACTCATGTTTGGATTCGAGAAGATACTGTTAGGAAGTCACTACAACCTCCTTATTCTGGCCCTTTTCCTATTGAGAAACGTATCTCTGATCATTTATTTGCAGTTAATGTTTCAGGAAGAGTTGTCAATATTTCGACAGAACGTCTCAAGCCAGCCTTCATTCCTAGAACTTCAGATTCTACTGAACTTTCTACCAGATCTTCAGCTCCTGTTCCTGCTATTTCAACTCCTGTTCCTGCTACTTCAGCTCCTGTTCCTGCTACTTCAGCTCCTGTTTCTGCTACTTCAAATCCTTCTTCTTCTTCTACTGTTGGAAAAGCTTTACGCACCTACCCACCAAAGAAGAAGAAAGTCCATTTCGCAACGAATATCGTCACTTGGGGGGGAGTACTGTAGCATTCATCATCCACACCTTTCATTTACACTCTACACTTTTATTACACCTTACACTTTTCACTGCACTTTTACACTTTTTACATCTTTATACATTTGTAATAACTTCAATTCATTAATATACATAATGTTTTTAAGAAAAATCAATATTTCCATAACAACACATTCATTCATTTATTTGTTACATATTAATTCTTTTTGTTCTTTCGCTTT